ATATAGATGGTGTTAGAAATTGTAATACACATAACTATTTATTTGACCAGAGAGTTAAAACTAACAAATAGAGTGATAAAGTAGGCACATTAATTTCGCATGATAATTTAAGAAAAGGATATAAAATTCAGCACCAAAAGAAAAGAAACAAATTCAGCTTGCAACCTTTTTCCAGCAAACGCATCAACATGGATTATTATTTCAAATGTGCAATGATTCAAGACGAATTTTGCGGATATAACACTTACGTATGGATAGCCTTGAAGGGACTCCCTTTGTTGCAGCAGACAATCACCATGCGCATCTTCTTCATCAGTGAGCCTCTCAAGTTTACGACAATACCGTATTCGCAATTCCTCTAGCAAAGGACACTGAGAAGCCAGAGAATAAGAGAATAGCCATTTCAATTTGTCGCAATACTCAATCTTGAGTTTCCTCAATTTTGGTAGGCTTGTGGCATGGGTGAAGATGCACCTTCCCAATTCTGGACAGCTCTCTAGAAACAGCTCTTGTAACATCGGGAGAGAACATGTGATCGATGAATCTTGGAACACTTGTTCAAGACTATTCATTTCTCTCAATCTTAAACTAATCAGGTGGGAGAACACTTGTCCTGTTTGAAGAATGTTGGTACTAAGGTTATCAGCTATGAATCTCTTCTCCACGCAGCATGAAATTGCTAAGTGCTTTATTTCAAAATTTATATCATCAAGATCCCACCTACAATTGTCTAGCCAAAGGCAGTTTGCTCTAAGGATGAGATCTTTCATTGATGAATTCGAAACAGAGACTTTGAAGCCTCGTATGCACAAAGCTCTCAGTTCTTCAATACAGTGAGCATCAAAATATTCTAGAAAAGGAGCATCTTCATAGCTAGGAATACTCAATGATGTGGTATCATAGATAACGTACCTCTTCAACCTTGAAAGAGAGTAATTTTCTGGGATGGCAGATTTCTTATCCCAAAAGTATAATTCCTCAAGTTGCTCACATCTTCCAATTACTTCTAAAGGACTTTTCTCAATTTCACACCCAGACACATCCAACAACTTCAATTTTTTCATATCTACAATTCCAATAGGTAATTCACCAAATTGAGAAGCACGCAAGTCAAGAATCTCTAATCCTTTGAGTTGACCTAGAAAAGAGATGTCACCCAATGCAATTCCTCTGAAGCATAAGGTATGAAGATTAATTAATGATGACACAATTGATTGCGGCATTGACCATTGAATTTGTGTAAGCCAACCAAGTCCTTCCCATTGAAAGCTAGATGTTGCAAGGACCAAGATTTTGAGCGCTTCAATCCCTCCAAGATCTTCAATGAACCCTTTGGGATGAAGTAGCAGAACCTCAAGTGTTGGACAATGCAATTGATTAGACTGCCAAAAATTACCTTCCAAATTCCATAATGATATTGCCTTTGTCTCTTTCAAACTTCCATTTTCAGCCAACATTTTTGAAACCGCATCGCTATCCACCAAAATTGCTTGATGTTGCTCCCTTGCAATCCATAAAGCTACATTCCGAATTAAATCATGCATTTTTACACATGCTTGCTCACTTGTATGCATTAATAAACAAGAATCTAATAGACTGTTGATGCTTACTAAAATCTCCCTCCTTGCATCCTCCACTGCGTAAACAATATTCCCCTCAAATTTCAAAGTCCCTTTGGCAAATCGAATAAGATCCTCTCTATGAATTTGATGATCCTCAGGAAACATAGAGCACAATAGGAAGAGTTGCTTTGCTAGACTTGTTGGCAAATAATCATAACTCAATTTGAGACATGCATAAGGGCCCTTTGAACTCTTATCAATATCCAATGGTAGGGCTTGTTGTAGCCTCCATAGTGCTCGCTTCCAGTCCAGAATTCCTCTTCCTCTTAATGCCCTTCCCATTGTCACAATTGCAATAGGTAGTCCCTTGCACTCATCAACAATTTTCCTTCCCACACCAACAAACTCATTCAATGAGTCATGGGTTCCGTTTGCATGCATCTTTAACAAATCCCATGCTTCCTCCTCAATCAAGAGAGGCAATTCAAAATTTTCCTCACAACCCATATAGCGACAAACATCTAGACGACGAGTAGTTAACAAAATGCGACAATTTTCATTAATCGGAATACCAATTTCTAGGAGATTTAGATCGCTCCAAACATCGTCCAAGATTATAAGTATTTTCATCCTTTTCAATTCAGTTAATAGCCTCGCTGCTATGATTGCTTCAATATTTTCCTCAAATTTCAAACCCGTTTTTCCTTTTATTTGTTCTTGGATGTTCCTAACATTAAGAGGCCGAGAGACAACGACCTGGACCACTTTGTCAAAAAGCTTCAGCCGTTCAACTTTCTTACCCACTTCGATTGCCAAGGTGGTTTTACCTGAGCCCCCAATACCATACAGGCCCACCATCTTATTCTTGCCATCTTTAATAGCCTCGAAAAGGCTATTAAAAATTGACGCCCTTGATTTGAAGTCCATGACATCCTTGGAAGAAAATTGATCACTGAGATTAGGAGGTGGTTTCGGCAGGGAAAATGGCTCAGAAGGGGGTCTGTCTTTGAGATACTTCATCCGCTTCGCCTTATCATCCATTTCTTTTGCTAAGGAATACTTGAGCGACATTTTAAAACATTTCTTTCCTCCTCCTCCAACCTCTCGCGGTAGCTCTGGCACCTCTTTTAGGATAGCATTCACTTCACCCAACCACTTCTCTACAGATGGCATTATTTCTTCAGTTCTTCGATGAGCTTCTTCCTTATGCTTGTTCACATCTGCTAGTGTCAGCTCCAACCCTTTTTTTATTTTCTCAACATCCTCAATGTATTGGTTGAAGCAAAACAAATAACGGGCACGACGTGAAATTGGATTCCATAGACATTCTGCAAGCTTGGTCGCAAGACAAGTCCCAATTTCTTCCATCTAATGCAATACAAGCAAATCTTATGTATAAATACACCAACTTGTAATAATTCCAAATACAAAATAATGTCGCAAGCATAACACGCTGACAACGTGTATGAACAAATAAAAGCATGACACAACAAACTTATAGCTAGAAGAAGTAAATAATTTATAAGAGGATATAATTAACAGTAGAAACTGAGACTCTTTCAAAAAAAGGTAGTTAACTGTTAATACACATGATCCTTAATATAACAGTTAAATAATTAATTTAGAGATATTATAAAAATTAATTAAATTGGCTATTTGTAACAAATATGCACTGATTTCTTTAAACAATAGAATTCACACAAGTGAAAAAAAAAGAAGACTTTTTATACTGGTTAGAAAACGGCTTTCTAACCGGTTAGAAACATTTTGAGTAATGGCGTTAGTATAATCATTTATTATTTTCACAGGGAAACTAAAAATTGTAATAATCTTCTTAATCATTTAAAGTGAATTAAATTAAAACAATTTATATAGGTGCAAAAATGGTTCAATTAACATAAATTCAGAATAATACAGAAAATCATCTATCAAATTCAGTGTTTTTGATGCAGTTGTATTCTTTCGCCAGAAGAAAAGTTATTTTCCCCCCACTTCATATCGATACAAGTTGGATTTTAATAGAAAAAATAATTAAAAAAACTTAGGTTAAATTTCTTATATCTATTATGTCAGTTCTTCAATTCCATATAATCATGTGTCCTTTTTTATTTTATGTGAATTTATAATTAAATGCTAATATTTTAAGAATAGGATACATGTTTATATACGATTGAAAAACTTGATATAGCAAAAATAAGAAACTTGATGTAAGTATTATCCGAAATTAATTTCCCCAGTAAAATATGAACAAAAAATAAGTTAGAAACAAAGAGAATAAAGAATTTTTTCTTTTCAAAATATAAGTACTACTACTGTACTACACTGTACTTTTATTTTAATAGGAAAACTAAAGCATTTAATAATCATACTATTAATAATAAACACGAGACGTATATAGTAGAATTGATCTTATGTATCGTTGACTCTGGATTTTAATATTAAAAACTAATAAATCTTTTTATGTTAAAGCAAGCGACATAGAGTATAATTTCCTAATACGTGTCTCTAACAATTTCCTGCTTAAAGAAATATATCGTTTGAGGACACGTAAGATAAAGAAATAATATTGTCACAGGAATTGTCAAGTTCAGATTTGTGCGACATGTTCAGATGCAAGAAAGAAACAAGCAACTATTGTCTCTAAATTAAAACAATGGCATTATTTTGATAAATATTAAAGTATTAAAATATTTAATAAAACTTAATCTTTAAGAATTTATTTTCATGACTGGTTTACGTCTATATCATTTCATAAGAAAAAATAATCATAACCAAGTCTTGAGCTATTTAAGAGTATTGTTTAAGTAAATTCACAAAACTATTTAAAATAAATTCTTCATTTTGAACTTATATCTGTAATTACCATTTTTTCCAAATAATAACATTACCTTGTAATCCTGGTAAATGGTAACTACGCATTATATAGAAATGTCAACAAGGAGAGAAAAAGTCGTCCAAGCCAAAATCGAATGCATTTTTTGTGACTGGCCAAAGTACACGCATATCTAAAAATCATTATATACTTTTATTTTAATAGAAAAACCAAAGCTTTTAATAATCATATTAATAAATTTTATTGACTTAAATTAAAAATATATGATTACTTATAAAAAAATTAAATCAAGTTAATTTCAGAAAACTATAAGAAACACATCTAATAAATTCAGTGTTTAATGTACAAATACTAGTTCCTTTGATTAAAAACAAATACTTTCCATATGCAAAAAGATTAGGTGAGACTTGAGTTTGTAACAAAATTATTCGTTATTTGAGAATCTGAATATTGAGTTCAAATGATAATCAGAGAATATAACAGGTGAGACAATACAGTAGAGATGTAAAGTAGCTAGATGATAATGAAGGTAAATATTAAAAAACAAAAAAAGTAAAAAAAAATAAATCAGTTAGATGACTTAATCTAATATAATCGTTACTTACCTCAAATGTGATGATGAAATTAGACAAATAACGCTGAAACGTCCTCCGGAGTGACTCTCAAATCAAATTAAGAGATTATGCCCAACTACACACAAATAGCAAACAACAATTCACCCAATTAGTGCAAACATATGATAGATAAATATATATTAATTTTCAAAGAATTTAAAATCTTGGAAATTCATTGTTGTATAATTATTGGCGACCGAAAGAAGGACAAAAAAAAAGCTCATGTACACTCAGAAAATGGTACTTATTGAAACAGTATTCAGGTTGATGATATTCCCGATTTATTTTTTCTTTTTTGATGAATATTTCAAATTTCCATAAGTTACTATGAATATATATCAAATGTCCATAAGTTACTATATATATATATATATATATATATATATCAAACAACAACGGTCCAAGTTAAATTTTATTCTATTTTTAAATTTTATTTTCATATACTCATGATGTAAAACAAAACTAATCTTTTAATAACTATTGGTTGTTTGTTCCATAACATAAATTTAATATAATGAAAAACATAACTTAAAATAATTTGATTTCTTTCACAAGTATATATTTCTGAAAATAGGCATTTTATCAAATTCAGCACGAAACTTAAATTAATATAAATTTAATGTAATACACAAAAATACAAAATAACATCCAACATTTCATTTTTAATTTTCTAATAATATTTTGATTAAAATTAATATTTACCTGTAATATTTTCAATATCTGATGAGTAAGGAAAGGCAGTCAGAGCATGATTGAAAATGGATTTTAGGAAGGAAAAATGACAGATAAAGATAAAGAAGGTGGAATAAAGGTGGAATATATGATATTCTTATTTGGGAAGCAGAAATGTAATGACAAAGACCTTTCCAAAGTAAAATTAAGTAAAATGACAAAAATACTTTTTGTCTTTTTCCTTTTTTAAAAAAAAAAAAAACTCAACTCCTCACCGGTGGCTGGTGGCGGCTGCGAGCCGCTGTTGGGCACCACCGGGCGTCGGCCACCGATATGATGGGTAGGGATGAGATTTGATCCCACAACTCCTTAGCCATTTGGACCAACAAAAAGAAAAATGACTATTGGGCTATCAAGGACTTCTTAACCTTATAATACAAACAAAAATATAAGTTAACTCTTTTATTGTGACTCCAGCCCGTGACAACAATTTACCTGAGGATGACAAGTCTTAATTGAGAAATAAAAAATCTAAATTTAATATTAACAAAACAACTTTTCTTGATACATAATAAGAAGTAGCAGGTACATTAATTAAAAATGACAATAATTTATTTAAAAATGACACGTCTTTATTAGAAAATGATAAGTCTAAACTTAAAATTAACAATGTGTATTTTCCTGATACATAATAAAAAATAACATGTACATTAATTAAAAATAACCATAATTTATTTGAAAATAACACATCTTTACTGGAAAATGTTATATTTTATTATAATAAAAAGAAACCCCAAACTTTATTAAATCTACCTTAAATTTTGACAACTTTTGTCCTGTTTAGTATATATTTAACCTAATGATGTAACAAATACACAAGACAAAAAACCTTCTTTCTACTTTATAGTCATGTAAAAAAAATAAAAAAACGGCTGTATGTCTGTATGTATTATTGGAGGACAGAGACACCGCAACAGTTGGGAAGATCTACTGCATCAACTGTAAGATCTATTGTCACCCAAAAATTTTTTTTAAAAAAATGATATTCTGTTATTTACCTGTAATATGAATTTAAGATAATGTTTTTTCTTTCCTTTTTTTTTTGGAGGCAGAACAAGAACTAATGGGAAGCAAAGCAGAGAGTTGATAAGCGAAAGTGGGGCGCTGCACACCAGAAGAGGCAGAAGCTTGGGATATAAGGAGGAGTCTGGAAGTAGCTTGGAATCTGGGGATCAAAAAGGTGATATTGGAGGTTGATGCGAGAGAAGCCCTTAGAAGGTTGAGGGGGAAGGAAAAAGAAGGAAGCTTTACCTGTTGTTTATGGAAGGAGATTGCTGACTTAATGGATCGAAGGTGGGAAGTCAGAGTAGGGTGGGTTAGGCAAGAAGCAAACGCTGTGGCAGACGCTCTTGCGAAGTTGAGTCTGGAAATGGTTCGGTCCTTGCAGATCTGGAACGAGGAGGCAGAGATCTTGATGGGATTATGCGAAATTAGTTGTCTTCTAATTGTATTGATGTCATTCCTAAGGACGGAAAGAGTAATTTGTCTTCTAATTGTATTGATGTCATTCCTAAAATTAGTTTTATTTTACTTAAAGTCGTTAATGTTATCTGACTATTTGTAATATTTGAACTCTTCGTTTTATTTTAATTAAAAAAACCAAGAATTCCTAATCCTAATTTTTAAAGTCGTCTCTCTCAAGTATAAAGATAACTTTGAAGAGATAGAAAAATGAATATAAAAAATCTATAAATATCCAAATCAACGTTAGGGACATGAGAATAATGTATTACTTCTAATATTCCCTTGCTATAAAAAATACTATAAGTTAAAGATATGTAAAACAAAGAAATGATATTATGATAATTACCTGTAAATAATTGTGATATCTTTTGGGCCGAAGCCAATGCAAAAAGATGACAACTGAAGCCAATTAATTATGGCAGCACAAGAAAAGCAGGAACGCTCAAGTTATACTTTACCAGAAGAATTATAGACAACAATGTAAATTAATAACTATTCTTTAAAAATGATATGATAAAATGATAATTTTTTTCAACAAAAGAGAGTATTTCGTCTGATTTCAATTCCCAAAAAAAAAAACAGAGCACTAAGCCCCTAAAATATTATAACTAAGCTTTATTTACACAATTACAGAAGTCATTGAAGCGGAAAAAAATCCCTGTATGTTTATGTATATGAAGTTTGTATTATCGTAAGGCTTTTCAAATAATTAAAATGAAATCCACAAAAAATATAAAATACATATTCATTTAATTACCTCAAACTCTGCAATCAAATTAGATCGGAAAACAAAAGCTCACGGAGATGACCTTGGAATCAAATTGCCCGATGCCAACCTTCATTAAGGAAGCAAACAATGATTTAATCAATTAAGACTATGATATTACGGTCATTTGCTAGGAATATTCATTATTGTAAATTATTGTGAAATTCAAAAGAAAGAAAGAAAGAAAAATAATTGGGATTAACGCTAAGAATATTTAGAATAGTATTGTTGTTCGAATGGGTTGATTGTGGCTATGCTTTTATCTTTTATACCAGATTTTAATTTTTTTTTTATTCTGATGAAACATATCACAAGTGACTTGAAAAAGAAAAACATAAGAGAAATACTCCTTCGGTCCTATTCAACAAATGAATGGGAAAAGTGACTTGGATACTTCCAGGAAAAATAACAACAGAAAATAGTCGCATTCATATTAAAAAAAATGTAATGATTTATAGGGCCTATTAGCCAGAGATCTTGAAGGGGATTTTTAAATATGGTATATTAAAATTTAAAAATTTTGTGATTTTGTTTCTATATTTAATATCCCGATCTTTGATTTAAGACCTAATTACAAAATTAATATTAATCATATATATAATCTATTTTATATGTTTATTAATTTTTTTGAATAATCTTATTTATATTCCCTCAATAATAATCAAATAGTAAAAGAAATGAGGGAATTTAAAAAAAACACTTACAGGTTAACTAATGTTACTAATATTCTTAATCCACTGAAATTATTTAATTAAATCTTATAATAAAGTCAGAAAAAATATATTTTTTTAAGAAAACAGTAATCTAACTATGACAAAAGAATCATTAAAAAAAATTAACATGATTAGTCTTTGTTTACTTACCTTCGGTCGTTTCAGCTTTTCTTCTTTGAAACGTCCTTAAATTATTGCTAGGAAATTATCCTATGAGTCTACAAATACGACAAAAGATTTATTATTTAAATATAAAAAAATAACTCATTAGTGACTGGCATGTGGACGGACAAAAATAATTATAGCGGCTGTTCTATAAATATGACCCAAAAAAAAATGCGAATGTGAACGCATTATCTGGTGCTCCAGAATATCCTCCTCTAAGTTGAAATTGAAAAAAAAGTTAAAAATAAATCTACCTTAAATTTAATCAAATTTTAAATAAATATCATAGATTTAAAAATCAACCTCTTAAATTTACAAATAATTCTCCTAAGATATAAATATTTTAATGTTGGCAACAAAAAAAAAAACTTACTAATTTACAAGTAAACCTCTCAGATTTACAAAGTCATCATTTTAACTTATTCTGTTTACCAACGCACCACTCATGACCTTCCTACCCCAGTTTACACGACGGCTATCCCCCCTTCCTCTTATCTTATTTTTTTTATTCTGATGAAACATATCACAAGTGACTTGAAAAGAAACAGATAAGAGAAATACTCCTTCAGTCCTATTGAATAAATGAACCGGAAAAGTGACTTGGATACTTCCTGGAAAAATAACAGTAGAAAATAGTCGCATTCATTTTTTTTTTATATAAAAAAAAGTAATGATTTATAGAGTCTATTTAGCAATAAAGATAGAGCTAGAAAAGAAAAGTGAAGCCGCGTGAAGACTGGTAAACAAATAGTGAGTCTTCACGTTGGGGAGGGACCATCTTGTCTAACTTTTTATTTGTCAATGATTCTTTGACACGTAATTTTCTTGTTTATCGCATTCACATGGCCCTGCTTGTGAGTAACGAAGACTTCTTGGTCAAAAAAAAAAACAAGTAACGAGGACTTGTACACTAACCCTGATGGGAAGAAAAATTAAGACGAAAAAAAAACAAGAGGGGAGAAAATAGAGAGAAGAGAAAATCAGAGAGAAAATATTATCACTTTTCATATTTAGATAGACAAGAAAAAATAAAAAATAATAAATATATGAATAACTAAAATATCCTTTTTGTTATATCAAAATATATCCTGATCAAAATCAAATTAAATATCATAACCAAAAATCATATTTACATTAACATAATCATATAATTTAGAATCAAATTATTTGATAAATATATATTATCATGTTATTATATTTTAATATCAAATAATTTTGTAAAAAAAGAAAAAAATAACATTTTGTATAATATAATGCTAAAAACACCAAAACAACAATTCTACTTGTTTTTCCTTTCAGTTCATTTCAGAAAGATTTTTGCAATTTTAGTTATTTTATTTTTTTAATGAAGCAAACTCAGAAGAAAGACTTGATAATAATAAATAAAGTGAAAATAAAAAAAATAAATAGATATTATTTTGTTGAAAAAACATATAAGGTAGAGAAGGAAAATATATTTTCTTCTCATTTTCTCTCTGTATATGGAGAGAAAAGTTGGGAGAAAAATGGGATATGAGACCCACTTCATTTTCTTCCTAACTTTTCTTTCCTCCCACTTTTCTTCCCTCATCCAAATAAAGAAAAAATCACTTCTTCCTCCATTTTCTTTCTTAGTTTTTCTTCCCTCCTATTTTCTCTCTATCTAAACACAGCATAAAGAAATGGCCAAACAATAATAAAATCAAATAAATCAAATCCGCTTGGTTTAAGTTTAGGAAAATGACAATTTTTTTGTCTGATGAAAATAACATTTAGGGTCCGTTTAGCTTAGTATGAGGGAAAATGAGAGGAGAGGAGAGAAGGAGAAGATGCATCTTATTTTCTTAAAATATTTTTATTCTTGAATTTTTTATTCTTTATTTTATTAATTCTAATAATTATTTTATAATAATTTTTATATAGCGTAACTTGGGTCTTAAAAGCTCAGTAGATTGTACATCGCCAAAAAACAAAAAAAAATCTTATGATACCTAGTTTTATATCCAAAAAAATGCTTTCATTTATTTTTCTATGTACTTCATATATTGCGGTGATTGATATTTATGTGACATAAAGAGAAATTCTCAATATTATGATGGGAGGGGAAATTGCTTATATTATAGATATATAATCAAGTAAAAGGTACCCATTCTTCTGTTATACTTTTTTTCCCTCTAATATATGATGATATTGAGATTAATAATGTATTACCTCTAATATTCCTTTGCTATAAAAAATATTACTTCTAATATTCCCTTGCTATAAAAAATACTGTAAGTTAAAGATATGTAAAACAAAGAAATGATATTATGATAATTACCTGTAAATAATTGTGATGTCATTTGGGCCCGAGGCCCAATGGAGAAAGATGACACCTGAAACTAATTAATTATGACAGCACAAGAAAAGCAGGAATGCTCAAGTTACACTTTACCAGAAGAATTATGGACAACAATGTAAATTAATAACTATTCTTTAAAAATAATATGATAAAATGGATAATTTTTTTCAACAAAATAGAGAGTATTTCGTCTGATTTCCCAAAAAAAAAAAGAGCACTAAGCCCCTAAAATATTATAACTAAGCATTATTTACATAATTACAGAAGTCATTGAAGTGGAAAAAAAATCCTTGTATATTTATGTATATGAAGTTTGTATTATCATAAGGCTTTTCAAATAACTAAAATGAAATCAACAAAAAATATAAAATACATATTCAATTAGTTACCTCAAACTCTGCAATCAAATTAGATGGGAAAAGAAAAGCTCACGGACATGACCTTGGAATCAAATTGCGCTATGCCAACCTTCATTAAGGAAACAAACAATGATTTGATTAATTAAGACTATGATATTACGGTCATTTACTAGGAATATTCATTATTGTAAATTATTGTGAAATTCAAAAGAAAGAAAGAAAAATTATTGGGATTAACATTGATAATGTTTAGAATGGTATTGTTGATCGAATGGGTTGATTGTGGCTATGCTTTTGTCTTTTGTATTCTTTCCCTTCCCAGTTTGTTGTTTTTTCTGGATTGGGGCTATTTGTTTCTTTTTTTAATGAAATATAATTGGTTAAAAAAGAAAATAAAAGATCCTCATTTGTCAAGATTTGGCTCTTTGACTGTTACAAACTAAATCAAAACTCTGGTAATGTGCAAACAAGAGCCTACTCTTCACAGCACTAGCGAGCAAATGCTAGCCACAATAACTTTTATTCATCCTGCTTAGTTTTAGGGATCAAAGTATATGAGAAGTAAAAGAAATATAAAAAAACAAAGATTCTGGAATTATAGCAGCATTCAGTAGCAAGGCATGGATCATTGAGAGAAAGCTCAGCAAATCTTGTTTCTGCAGCAGATATTCTAAAGACATTGTTTTTCATGCATTTATGGTACATTTTCAGCCTGTTTTTGACCTTGCAAGTTCCTTCTGCAAGCAAACTATGTATAAATTCATCTTTTGGTTTTTTTTTTTTTTTTTTTTTTTTTTACTTTCTTGTAGTTTTCTTATGCTGGACTTGTAAATAGGTACAATAAAAGTCTGTTAGGTGACAATATGGGGAAGTTTCCAGGTCCTTTCCTAATGAATACTATCCACTTTGCAATGCACGCTGTGTTTGCAAACTTTATCACTTGGTTTTGGTCTCATAGATTCCAAACTAGTGTTTCTGTGTCTTAGAGGGATTACTTATGGCGAGGTAAATGTGTAATTTGGGTATATTTTTTATTCATTTTTTTTCCTTCTTTCTTCAAGTATAAATATATGTCATCCAAAACTTGGAATAATATTGTCTTAAATTGATGACAATCATAGTAATTGGAATCGATAACTTGTAGATTTTGAGTAGACGATAATATTTCTGCCAAAATAGAGTTAATAAACTCTAACTGAATAATTTTGTATTGGGCATTGACTAGGTCTTTGATAGAGAAGACAAAGATGCTTTGTTCATCCCCAATGTCTTGTTTGACCCCTACCAAAGAATTAACTGAAATTGGCACATTAATCCTTAATTATCTTCTATCTACTTCCGGAACTATGTTCGATGGTTGATCTCCATGTCTTTGTACTTTCAAAGCTTTTTTGGCTCTACTAAAGTTATTGTATTTTTATTGAGAAAATTGAATTATTATGAATTACAATCCATTGATGTCATTATTACAGCCCAACAAGAACTTTTTCAGTCGTTCTATGCCATTGTGTTTAATCTTATTCTATTGGAAATGTCCTATGTTAAACAGAATTTTGGTGGAAGTTTCTTTTTTTTTTTTGGTAATACTGACAACTATTTTCTACAACAATATCTCTTTTGTGCAGAATTGTGCTCATCTTTCCTAATATCCCCATAATTTACATCACATCATAATCTTATTGCTTTGTGTGTGTATACACCCACATGAATGGATTCTTGTAATTGTTTTGCCTTTCAGATTATCATCCTCTTCATTGAATGCACACATATGCTTCTAACATGAAATGGTCCAAGAATATTTGTTATGGACAATGGTATAATTTTTTTTTTTTAGTTTTCCCCCTTCTCCACGTTTCGGTACTTTTGTCGTAAATTTATAACCGCTTACTTTATTGACTTTGCTATCAACTAATGCCACAGATGGAATTTGCCTTTCACAGTTGTACTAACTGCTCTAGGGATAGCATTGGATATTAACTTGAGCAATGCTTCTCTTGCTTTCATCTCTGTCACTTTTGCTACAATGGTTAGTGACATTTCTCTTCTTGTTGTTCATCCGGAGGGAAACATCAAATAATATCTATTTTATTTTGTGTTGTTACTGAAGACTGCATTTTCTTTCCTTCTTTATGTTTTTCTTGCCCTGAGGAAGTAACTATCCTTATTCTCTATATTTACCTCTATTTTATTTTCTTTCTTGCAGTGTAAATTTGCTGCTCCAGGTTTTCTCCTCCTATTTGCTTTTGCTTTCAGGTGAGTTTATAGTCTTTTGACCTTTGTAATTGTTCTTTCTGTTTTTGTAACCTCTGTGAATGCTAGGGATCAAAATTGAACATTCAGTTATGAGGAATTACATCTCTAAGATACATTGAGGAAATTAAATTCTATATTATGATGTCTGACCATTCCTAAAATACAACATTGTCTGCAAACTATCAATCATTTAGTACCTAAATGGTTGTTGATTCTATACAAAAGGTAGACTTATGTTATGTGACAGAAATTTTAGTGGCCCATATGGTTTGAGGAATAACACTTTCTTGTCATGCTGGGATTGGCCAAAACTTTGCCGAGTTCTTAGTTCTAAAGTAAATTTAAACATTGTTCAGTGTTACTGTCACTTAGTTGATCCATTTATGTATGCCCATAGTGTTACTGTCACTTAGTTGATCCATTTATGTATGCCCATAGTGTTACTGTCACTTAGTTGATCCATTTATGTATGCCCATATGGTTTCCAACTGTGAATTTAAACATTGTTCAGTGTCACTGTCAATTAGTTGACCCATTTATGTATGCCCATATGGTTTCCAATTGTGTAGTTCTATGAAAAATTGATTTTTATTCTGGCTTCAAATTCTAAATTGCTTATCTAAAAGAAAATAAAATACCAGAATCATGTGACAGTGGATGGGAATGATGCTTTGTAGTTTAACTAATTTAATGTGAATCCATCTAAAGTCGAATGGAGGCATAGGTTTCTTAAACTGTCTAGGATTACCGATTGAGTTTTAATAGGTGATGCAAGATGTTTAGTGCCTAATATTCACAAACCACATCCTGTGGCTACTGTCGTCTACCACAATGCTCCCAGTCCAAGCAATTTTACTTCTGGAGAAAAATCGATGCTTATGCTGATACCACAGAAATTAGACTAGTCTTCTTTCATCGTTTGTTACATGTATGAAAATGAACACTTCATATTATATTGTGCTTTCTATGAAAAGCATTTTTTTGGGTGGAGTTTCTGCTGGTTTAAGTGTGAGAAGCAGTAAAAATATACAAAGCAAACAGGGACGACGAGAAGGTGCAGAGGCAATGTGCTTTTCTTCAATTTCTATTACTTGAAAATAATACTAATTACACTGGAATTTAAGGACAAAAAATAACCAGATTTTCTGAAAAGTAAATTAACAGAAATAATTAGTAATCAAATCCATTCCTAATTTTCAGCTACCCATTATCCCATTTTCCTGCAGATCGTTGAGTTCGAGATTTTAGCATATCACGTTCCTGGCTTCCAGTGGCTCACTCTTGCAAGAGGTTGAATCAGTTTTAGAGATTTGTGGGAGTTACTTCTGAAATCCCCTCCAGTACGTTTTGAATCACATCTCCAACACTCCCTCTTGATTCAAAATCGCTAACTCCAAGTAAGCTTCTAAGATACACGTCTCTGAGTTGATAGAGCTTTAGTGAGGATATCTGAAAATTGAACTTCAGTGCTGCAATATTTCATAATTAATTCACCTTTTGCAACCAACTCACGGATGTAATGAAATCTCATACCTATGTGCTTGGTTCTTCCATGAAACACTAGATTTTTTGTCATTGCTATAGCTGATTTGTTGTCACAGAACAACTCAGTTCCTTCTTCTTGCTTTTGCTGCAAATCATCCAACATTTTTCTGAGCCAAACGCAGTGACTTGCTGCAGTAGTTGCTGATATATACTCTGCCTCTGCCGTTGATAGGGCTACAGTAGCTTTTTTTTTGACATTCACGTGATTGCCCCTGAACCCAAGTTAAAAATATTTGTAGATGTGCTCTTCCTGTCATCTAAAGAGCTTGCCCAGTCACTGTCACTAAATCCAGTCAACGTAAAATGAGTTACAAAAGTGTACTAGATTCCGTAGCCTACTGTTCCAGCAATATATCTCAGAATTCGTTTTGCCACATCATAATGCTCCTTTGATGGATTGCACATGAACCTTGACACAACACCTACCGAAAAAGATATATCCAGTCTTGTGTGTGTTAGGTACATTAAACCACCAACTAAGCTTCTGTACAGCTTCTGGTTCACTTTTTCAGCTCCATCTTCTTGCTGCAACTTTTGTTTCAGATTCATTGGAGTAGCTTTTATAGTGCAATTAAGCATATTAAACCTTCTCAGCAACTCTGTTGCATATTTCTTTTGACAAACAAAAATTCCAGCTTTGTCTTGCACAAATTTTACACTTCCAAGTTTTAAAGTTTAATTCTGTGAGGTTTTCATGGCCTCTGGACAACTGCAATTTAGTTGCTAGCGTTTGGCCCCCTGAGTTCATATAACTTTGCCACCCTTCATAAACTAGTTTAACTGATATGGACTAGGAATAAACTAGCTGGACAAGGAAGCAAAGGCTTGCAAGTCAGTCAGATTCTTCAACTCGGAAAGTTCAACTGGCAATTCTCCAGTGAATGCGTTTGACGACAGATGGCTAAGACACAAAACGTTATTCATGTTAAACAGCACAGTGCAGGATATCAGGGAAGCAGCAGCAGCAGCAGATATGTGTCAACATATTCGGATAAAGAAAACAAAATAAGTGAGAGAAATTGCAGTTTTTCTAGCTTGATCAACTTTCCAATATCTGGTGGAATGGGACCCGAAAATAGATTTCCTTCAATAGTCCTATGACATCTGTGCAAATATTTAATCAGACAGATAAACCAATTTGAAGTCAGTCTTAGTTGGCAATGCTGACAAATCATGCCCAGTTGCCTCTAGGTAGGTATAGAAGTTGGTATAGAAGTTGCAATTCCGGACATAAAGAGAATTAGAGGATACTGTTTTGATGGTAATAACTTAAAAAATAATAATAATGATGACGCCGACGACCACAGTACCCCATTTTGTGAAAAAATTAATAATAATACTAATAATGATAGTAGAGGGAAGATTAACCTAAGTTATACGTTTTCTGTTCACTTTCTTTTGACAATAATGGATTCGCAAACATGAGAATTCTAAATAAATTTGTTTGCATGCAGACATGAGCGTAGAAATTCTGGAATGATTCCAACATACAGGCTCAGGAGAGTCGTGATGTTCGTGAGAACTGTAGGGAAAGGGCCTGACAATCTGTTTCCCATAATCGAGCTGCATATTAAATTAAAAAAAATTGATAAATGCAGTTGAAAAATGAGCTATTCAAGAGGAGAGTTGATGAAAGCAGAGAGTGCATGGCAGAAAGTTCTCACAGGTCAACCAATTGCATACTAGCCCACTGGTCAGGGATAGAACCATTGAGAATGTTAAGATTCAGTGTCCTGTTTTAGAGCACAAGACAAGATAATTTAGCGGGCTTGAGGCTTCCATAGACCATATAAAATGCAGAGAACTTGACTATAATTTTTTGGCATCTGTGCTATTAGGTTCTGATGGAACTCAAGCTTCAATTGATGTTAAAAATTAACAATAATCTGGCAGGGTGTAGTTCTAACCAGATTCTTTAGAGGTAATAGCAAAGAAACACCCAACTCCTCTGGCATTCAAGACGAACAGGTTCTCCAGTAAAAGCGTAGTTTTCTTTACAATTTACTCTATATAACTGACTCTCCAGTAAAATTTCTAGACACTGCGTTTTCACTTGATAACAAAGACCTGAAGGTTTGTTTACAAGGCGGATAATGCATGGAAAGGAAGGGAATGTTTCATTAAGACGTTTCCATATTTGGGGAAGGAAAAGAGTATAATGAAGGCCTTCTTCATAATTATTAGTTTTTCCGATTAATGGGATTTTTTTTATTTTTTTTTTTTGAGGAAGAAGTTTTCCCAAACAAAGGGACATACCCTAAAGAACTTTATGAATATGTGGATTCCACAGAAACATCATTGAGAGAAACAGAAGATCATTAACTTGTCTAGTAGACGTCTGGTTTATCTTACAGTTTCTTGAGATGATTTAGCTTGGAAAATTCCGGCGGGATAGCACCCGAAAGATTCTGGGCCTTCAAGGATCTGCAAATATATAATGTGAAAAAGGATTTAGAACAAGAAGGCATCGACCAAATTTTTTATCCAGGATTAGCTTATTTGTATGAATTTTTGCAGAATACAAAGCATTATTAATTGTTTTTACCACTAACCGAAATAAGTATTCTTTCCATAAGACTACAAAATATTTTTGAAGGGATAAAAATTACTGCCAAAGTAGTAAACTAGATCGGCGGGAAATACCATTGCAAAGAAAAATATTAAAATAACATAATATGCAAGAATGCAGCGATAGGCTTTCAATATGAACGTTTTGCAACCTTTTATCTTAGTAACCAAACAGCTTTATGCGAGTTACAGAAGACGAAAACAGAAAACGATTAAACGTAAATTCTGCTATAACATGTCCACATAGCTGTAAATATATGTTCTTATATTTGACAAACACTGAACTTTACCGAGTTGCATATTCTTAAGTGTAAGCATCGGTAGTATACAACCAAAAAGAGTACTAAAATCAAATAAAAATGTATACAATATACCAATGACATTCGAGTATGTTTGGTGGAGGGTAGTGCAGGAGAAGCGAAAGTTTAATTGAAAGCTTTTCATAATTTTAAAGTATCAGTCAGGAGAAAAGCATAACGAAAGTTTTTCTTTCATAGTTCCAAAATCAAGATATTTCCCCACCAAAACAGGGGAAGGAAACTGATCTTTTGACCACTCATTTGTCTTCTTTCTCTTCCCTTCCATTTTTCTTGGATTCCTTCTGGCCTGTTCTCCTCCCAACTCCCACGTATTCATAGAATTCACAGTTTGTCTTCACTTTCTCTCTCGTGGCAAAAAGAACTGAACTCAAATTATTGGTCCAAACAGAACGAAAGAAAGGAAGGATCGTGAGATGGTAAGAGAACAGTACATGCTTACAACATGGCAAGAAGACTCGTTGCATTTACAGTCCACAATGCTCTCAAAATGTGCGCTCTCATCAGACGCATTCCACTGCCCTTCCCCACTGCAAGGATCATATTTTCCAAAGTCCCAGTCATTCTTTCCTATTTTCCTCGCTATCTCTTTCAATGTATTAGCTGCATTATGCATAATTCAGACACAATCATCAACATGAAAATAGAAATCCCCAGAAATGAAAGTAACCATTACAGAGCATACGATCTTAACAAATACTTTGAACTCGAAGCAAGGCACATCAATTATTCAGTCTTATTTTTGTATCTTTAACGATCCCAAGATTCTTACTAATTGCTAAACTAATCTTCTCAGGTTTTGCTAATACCAGATATTCCAAAATTTCTAGTTTTACTTTCGTTATCGTTAGTTACCAAAAACCAAGCAGGTGAGCTTCAACACGTTCTAAGCATGATACAATACGCATACCATCGTATGGTCAAGGGAAAAAAAAAAACAGTGATCAAGCATAATCAAAAGCATCCTGTGGTATTTGGCGCAAATGTTGAGCAATGATGAAACGCAACAACAAACAAACTCTGGTTTTCTGATTCATACGCGTTTACCTTCTTCACTGTCGAGAATGCCTGTGTCTGCGAAAACAAATTGTGAGAATAAGAGCCGCGAAGTGGAAGCAATTAAGAGAAGAATAACTAACAGCTTGGTACATCTCAAATTGAGGCCCATGTGGTAGTTTTCTGATTTGAGCTTAAGCAAGCTCTTGTAAGAGCAGAGCGAAGAGAGAAAGGCTATTTATAATATAATTACATTAACGAGAGAAAAATATGAACACATGAAATGACTCCTTTTCTTTTATGTATTTTTCTAATTCATACTTTCCTCGAACTTTTTTAAATTAATTAATTAATTGAAGCCATTTGAAAATGTCAATATCTTTACGTTATTTTCTAACATTAAAAACATGATTGTTGCGTGACAAATGATAACTTAAAATTTGAGATGCCATTATAAAAAATTAGAAAAATTGGTAAAAAAATACCTATTTAAAATTTTAATTAGCCAGAAAGACTTGAAATTGTGCATGTGCAAGTGCAAGTATAATTTGTGAGTGCAACATATCATCCACTGAGTGTAACATATGATATGTTGCACTCACGGATCATACTTGCACTTGCACAAATCAGGTCCTTCTAGCCAATTAAAATTTCAAACACGGATTTTTTACTAATTTTTTACTAATTTTTCCTATAAAATTATTAGCGTGGAAAGAGTAGTAGTAGACAAAAATTTTTATATCATAGAAACTATGTATAAACGGATAGTTCAAGTTAGAACAATTGATGTTTTTAAAGGAAATTTAACTCTAGTGTAAACAAAATTTAGATGAGACGTTATTTTCAGATCTTAAATATAAAATTTAGATAACTAATTTATAAATATTAAAAATTTGTAAGATTAGTTATTTATAACAAATATGTTCCTTTTACTTATAATATCTCATTTAATCATTATTTCTATTTTTAGAAATCCCTTTAATATTAATTTTTAAGCATAGTTAAAAAAATTATAAATTTGAGAGATAAAATAAATTAAACTTTTATATCTATTATCAAAACAAACATCTTAATTAACTCATATTTTAAAGAGGACATATACAAAATGCTGGACTAAAAGAATGGTCAAAAGTTACAATCATACGAGGCATTGTTTCAAATTGAATTATTGGCCAATGGCCACTTTGGTCTAAGTCTATTCTTTATGTTTTTTGGTTGAACTTTGGTCTAAGTAAAGCAGTGACACATACGTTAGTGCTCTTAACTTTAGAGACTTTTAAGTAAACGGTACTTTTGTTTTTATTTTATTCAAAATTATGGACAAAATTTAAGAATAAAGAATTGAATTATATTCAACAAAACTCAGAATTATTTGTCAAATGTATAATTTACTTTAATACTTAATTTGATTAGCATATATTAGCAAAATAAAATTTTCTGATTCTAATTGCGAAATTCATAAAAGATGTACCTAAGTAATATTCTAATTGCGAAATTCATAAAAGATGTACCTAAGTAATTTTATCTATAAAAATTTAATTAGTACTCAAAAAATTAAATCATTTCTCAAGTAAAATTTAAAACAAATAATTAAATACTTATTTTTATCTAAAATTTTAATTTACTCCTAATTTATTTTTTTTCCATTGTAGTTCAAAACCTCATATATTTTTAGATGTTTAAAATTTATCTCCACTGTCATAACCGCATTCTACTTTGCGTTGTTTAAAGTGAACAAGCATTTTATCCCCTGAACGGCTGAACCTGTAACATAAATTCAAATTTTAAATAACTTAGCACAAACATTTTTCACTTATGATCTAAAATGTGATTTTTTAAATATAGAATTTTCTTTCAGAAATATTCCATTAAAAATAAATATATAGTTAGCTTAAAATTATGTATTAGTTCAAATTAAAAAAAAATTGTGACGTTTGAATGTCAACGCGTTAAATGAAAAGTTTGACCACATGCATGCCTTGACCGAGTCGGTTTTAAGTTTTTAACCACCTTCGAAAGTTCGTTGAACCCGCCGGGTCCGCGCGTGAAGAAAAAACAATATTAGACCATTTCCACTCACCAAAAAAAAGAAAATACTACTGTTATGATTCCATTGAAATTATTATTGTTAAAATTAAATTAATGAAGGAAAAAAAACTATTATAATGTTTTCATTTGCATGTGTTACAATATAATATAAAAAAATTATAGTACTAATCAGTATCAATGCATGCAATATATCTATAAATAATCAATATTCAAACTATGGTTGTGCAAAACACGAAACGTTCATATGATTTTTTTTTCATAATACAAGAATTTTTGGTTGAATAATTATAACTGGTGTTGGTATTCCATGACTTTGAATCCACAATCGGGATTTTCATTATGAATTGCCTAAGTTATTTATACCAAAATCTAATATATATATATATATATATATATGAATGAAATGCTTTTGTAGTAAAATGTTAATATATATGCCTATCTACTAAACTTCACTGACCATTACTCTAGTGTTTCACCAAAATTCTAAAGTAAAAATTATTTTAAGGAAAATAAAATTTTAAGGTGACGATTTTTTTTTTTTGCAAAGTGACAATTCTTTTAAAATAGAAAATGTAAATGAAGTCAATATATAATTACAATAGATTTTTCTTTTGAAAAAAAAAGTAAGTTGATAAAATAGCCAGAATTCTAGCCGCTTTTGGTAGCCAAGTTTATTTTCTGTCTTGTCTTAATTACCACGAAAAAAGAAGGCAATTTATATTCGTTTTCTATACCTGCAACGTTATAAACCATTAGTACGCTTATGGTCATGTAGTTTTACGCTTAAAAGTGTCATGGAGACAAAAAAATATTAATTTAGAATTGAAACATATTTAACTATGAAATGAAATATACTAATTTTTAAGATTATATTGTGATCAAGATTTATTCAAAGATTTATTATAAGTATGTTACGAAGACAAAAAGTTGTGAATTCAGAATTGAAATGTATTTAACTGTGAAATGAAATACGTTAATCTTTAATATTATATTATGATCAAGTTTTATTCATAATTTATCTCAACTGTGTTATGGAGACAAAAAATTATAAATTTAGAATTGAAACGTGTTACTGTTAACTGTCAGATGGAACACATTAATTTTCAAGAGTATATTATGATTAAGTTTTATTTAGAGACTTATTGTAAATGTTTTAGAGATATAAAGCTATTAGTTTATAAATGAAACTTGTTAATCAAGTAATTAAACTTATTAACTTTTAATGTTGTATTGTAATGAAGTTTTATTTAAATACTTAGGCAAGAGTATTATGAAAAGAGAAAATTGTTAATTTAAAACTAAAACGTGTTAATTGCGAAATAAATATGTTAATTTGAACCTTTTTCTTTTGATTTCTATTGAAAGTGGCATTAGAATCATTTCATAAGATTTCAAAATCCTTCTTTAGATTATATATGTGACTTAATTAGGAGTTTGACAAATTTGATAATCTAAATAAGAATTTGGTTTATTTAAGTATCGTTTCATGGATTCTCCCAAAACTTTATACTAATCAATATCAATACATGTAATATATCAATAAAATAATCAATATTCAAACAATCGTTGTGCAAAACACGAAACGTTTATATGGCTCTTTTCATAATACAACAATTTTTGGTTGAATAATTATAACTGGTGTTGACCTTCTATGACTTTGAATCCTATCTACAATCGGGATTAATTTTCATTACGAATTGCCTAAGTTATTTATACCAAAATCTAATGTGTGTGTGTGTGTGTGTGTGAAGGAAATGTTTTTGTATTAAAATGTTAATACATATACCTATCTACTAAACTTCACTGACCATTACTTTTATTGATGAAGTAGTAAAGTGATTAAAAAAATAATCAGTGTTTCACTAAAATTCTAAAGTAAAAATTATTTCAAGGAAACTAAAATTTTAAAGTGACTATTATATTTTTTTTATATGCAAAGTGACAATTATTTTAAAATAGAAAATGTACATGAAGTCATCAATATATAATTACAATAGCTTTTTCTTTTAAAAAATAGTAAGTTGATAAAACAGTTAGAATTCTTACCGCTTTTGGTAATCAAGTCCATTTTCTGTCTTAATTACCAGGAAAAGAGAAGACAACCCAGATTCGTTTTCTATACCTGCACTGCTATAAACAGTTACGTACGCTTACGGTCATGCAGTTTTACGTTGAAACTTGAATGAGTCGAATGATTGAATATTTTATTTCATTATTCTTATAAAGTGAGAAAATATTACCTTATTTACTGAGAAAATACTCACCAATAAACTTAGTTTCACATTTCAACAAATACTGTTTGTTTGTTTTTCCTTTTGGTCTATATATATCATTCTTACTGCGATTCTGTCATATGAGATTTCCTAATAAATATTAGAGATAAAGTAGATTAGAGTCTTATATTTATAATCAAATTGAATATAAAACTAATTCTTATATTAAAAATTGAAGGTAATAAAATGTTACCTTTGATCCTTAGTATAAGAACTAATTGACTAATTTAATTAGATTAAGAAAATTTGTTGAGTTAGTTATTTGTAATAATTATGTATTATCTTTTCTAAAATATCCTTACTAATCATATATTAGCTAAAATTATTATTTGATTGAACTTTTAACATGCACAACTACTACAATAACTACTTTAAAAAAATAGATAAACATGATAAACAAAATAAATTGAGATTTTATATTTAGGACAAAATTAAAAGTCAAACTAGTTTTTATATTAAGAACCGGAGGTAGTATTATGATTTTGATTATGCTAGATTGCCATGAAGTAATTAATCTATTTTTATAATTCTAATAATCATCAAATGCATGATATGATATCCCTCGCCTTGTATAGGTACGTTGTCCCCTAATAAAAACTTAAAAAAAATTAACATAAGCAACAAAATTTATGACAGATTAACTTCACTGCAAATACACACAGTGGCTTTTAACATTCCTTATTCATTAACACATCCATCCATATTTAAAGTAACTAATAATTAGCCATCATAGAAACCGCTAGTTATCACAATTAACTTGGAGCCCCTTCTTCTTCTATCTTAAGTAACTGTAAATTAATTATATTCATTATCGTCCGCTACATATAAGCCCCAAAACCTAGCTAGCTGGTTTCACAGAACCATCCACACACTACAACTTCAATTTCTCCAATGGCCGCTTCCACCTACAGCTTCTTCATCCTCATTGCTCTTATCATGACATCAGCAATGGTCGAGGCCCGAACACTCTCGGATCCGTCGGCTGCCTCCCCAGCGGCTAGCCTTGCCGCACGGCTGAAGCTGGAGGCCGGGCCGTCGACCTGTTGGGACTCACTGTTTGAGCTGCAAGCTTGTAGTGGGGAGGTTATAACGTTCTTCCTCAGTGGTGAGACGTACTTAGGGCATGGATGCTGCCAAGCCATTAAGAAGGTGTTAGGGCAAGATTGCTGGCCTAATATTATGAGCTCTCTAGGGTTTACCAATGAAGAAGGTGATATACTTGAAGGATATTGCGATGAGTCTCTTCATAATTCTCCTCCTTCTCTACTGGTTGATCCAAAAGTGCGTGCTCTGTAGAATCATTGGGAAAGGAAAAGGTTAAAAAAGGGAAAGAAAAAAAAAGCATCCAGTTTGTTTTGTTTTGTTTTTTTTTTTTTTGGGGGGGGGGCTTTTCCTGGGTTTTGTTAAACTTGTTTTTTGGATCTATGGTATTATGATGCAATAAATAAAAGAAAATTATGAACTATTATTCAGAGTTTTACGGTGATCATCGGATAAGTTGTCCCGTTCGCATTTTGATAAAGGTAAAAAGGTTTTGGATTTATTTAAGAAAGCATTGAAACTGACTTCTGAGATGTCTATGTCATGGAATATATGTCCGCTAATTATAAAAATTAAGAAATAATTTATAAAAATAAGCAAATCAAATTAAAGCATTTGTGATAAAACGTCGCAATTTAATCTCAACATTTTGTTCCGATTGAAATTATTCTTTTACGAAGCATCAACAATTTATGCATTCTCTCTTTCAAGGGATTATTTTGATTAGAAGACTAAATTAAAAAGGCAATAACATTAATTTGACGAGAAAGTGATTATTCAGAGAGAAAATAAAGAAAATTAAAGTCGAGCAATTTCACCTTCAGAGTTAAATTATTAAGTCGGACAAACACACGAATTCAATGAAGAATATTAAAAAAAAAGGAGAAAAATAAAATCAGAAAAAATATATATATGTAAAAATTTCTTTTGATATATAGATAGAAATATGAATGAATTATATTAAATAATGATAATTTTGGTAGACGAGGGCAGCATACAAGAGTTGATTCCAAGTATCAGGAACACCGGGGAGGCACCAATGGGTACAGTCCATGTCACGGTGGCCACCGTGGCCATAGACGGAAGGGTGGCCGTCTTTTCGGAGCTGAGATAGAGCGGTGATGTTGAGTAGATAAACTACATTAGGGTTTGACATTTCTTTCAGAACTCTCTCTACCACTAACTCTGCTGGGTGGCTTCCTCCTGGATACTTGTTGTGTCCTTCCAGTGGCCTCTCTTCATTTGCACATGACTTTGCTCTTGCTTCTCCCCATTCCTCTCCGCTAAAATTCAATTACAACGTTAAAATTCAATTACAACGTTATCATAATGTAATTAAACAAAAAAGAGAGACATAAACGCAGCATAATAATAGGCCTGTCACTTTTTTAGCAAGTGAATCTCATAAAAGCGGGGCCCACAGGTATGGTTATACCCGTTTTCACTTTAGACAAAAATAATTTAAGAAATCGAACCTGGTAAAGTTGTGTGTGTGTGTGTGTGTCATTTTATTTCGCAAACGGAATATATATGCACCCACATGTACATGCAAAAAAGGGGCCCATAATTTTATTGGGCCATAATCAAGGGACCCCTCTTTAATTTTTCTTTTTTCTTTTTTGTTAAAAAATTCTGAAGTGTTGATCGTGCTAAATGTAAAATGCATGCATAAAACGTAATTAAATATAATAATTAGTTTAATTTTTTTATTCTAATTATAAGATCTCAATCCACTTTGTCTCTCATATTAATTAGTTTAATTTTTTTTATTCTAATTATAAGATCTCAATCCACTTTATCTCTCATATTTATCCATTTTTTCTCGAGATAATCCTTATAATAATGGTAGTTCTAGCCAATACACTTGATTAGTAAGAATATTTTTAAAAAATAATACTTATTTATTATAAATTACTAACTTAACTAATTTTCTTAATCTATTCAAATTAGTGAACTAGCTCTTATACTAAGGATAGAAGGTAATATCACAGAAATAAATGTCCTTATTATTTAATGGCATGAAAGTTAGCTTTCTTGTATAAGAATTAGCGGTTTCGCTTGTAATCTCAAACCGAATAATTGTTCTTATATTTTTAACGAAGTCTAGCAGAGGCTCATTCAATGGTAAATTAAATGAATTGATTGATGCATAACAACATGCATAATGATCAGGAGAAAACATATATATTCATCCGATTCTTAATATAAGACCCATTTTATAATACAATTTATACTATAAAGTGGGTCATGTATTAAAGACCGAATAAGTATATAATTACTTGCTTACTTCATATGATCTGGAGACACGCCTTGAAAGAAAACCTTAGTTTTTGAAGGATCAACGTTGCTGTCGACCCAATTGGTCCATGTTTTCAATGCCTTCTCATATGCCACCAACCGATCCATATCCTTGTACGTTTTATTCCCCTCTTGAATGAAATCCCACCTTCACACACACATACACACATATATGACACAAATTACAGTTAAAAAGTAATTAACAATTTATAATTACACAAGCCAACATAGCCAAAAAAAACAAAAATAAAATAAAATAAAGGAAGAGATCATCTCTTTGTTATATGTGACTATATCTGGTATTTGATACAATCAGGTTATATTCAGACATTGTCCGATCTTAATATTTTTCCTTTTCATTTACGGGGTTTGAAAAGGGTATCGAGCTTTTTTTTTTAAACTCAAATCAACCATAGCAAAAATAGGGTTTTGTATAGACTTACGGCTGCTTCCTTCCGGTATGAAGCCACCAATGCCAAGAATCGAAAATCAGAACATCAATGCCTTTCCAATCTTTATTGCCAGATTCAATGGAATCCAGTTTCAATACTCGACCATTAGTTTCCTCAACCAGGTCCACCAGAAATACGTTGCGACTCATCATCACCCTCACATTATACTCCTGCATTTTATTAACCCGTCACAGCATAAAAATTTAATCAACGCAACTTAAAATCATCAAATCCCAAGGTCAATCGTCTCATAACTTAATGACGTGAAAGCTCCCTTATAAAAGAAAAATCCCAAATTTAATCCCATTTGTAACCTCAAGTTGTTAATGTCTAGCGGTAACTTCAAAAAGCAACAAAAGGATAAATTTTATATAATTTGCTGTTGGCTCTAATTATGAAGTTTGGGCGTAATAAGTTCACTGTGTTACTCGTGACCCAATCAATTATCAACGGGCACCTATAATATATATATATATATAATGTATTTATATATATAACATTAATTACGTGACATATAGGCCCTACCAGGCCGGAAGAGTCACTAAAGAGAATTCTGATGAGCCATCACGATCACAAACTACATGTCCAATAATGCATCCATGAAACTTCTAATCCAATTCTAATCTCAATCCTCCTACACAATTAAAATTAATTACAAGATATGTTAAAAAAATCCTACTTGATTGGATATTGTATCAGCTAAAAATTAAGTAAGTAGATATACATCTACTTTGTGTGTATATCAACCAACGATGGTTGGATTGAGTGAAGAAGACTCAAATTCTTTTAAATAGGGTCTCTGTTTCAAACATTGTAGATAAAAAATCTCATTCAAAAAACTACTCTCAACCGAAGTTAATAAGATTTTACTAATATCATATGATATTATCAAATACATACAAAATATTCTTCCGATCCTAAATATAAGACCTCTTTTGTAGTGTAAATTACACTATAAAAGAGGTTTTATATCTAGGATTAGAGTAGTGTAATGATGATAATGATGAGGATACCAGACTCTATTCAATGACATAATAACAATATCTAATATTTAAGCAATGATTAGTAGTTATGCTAATTAATCAATAATTAACGGACTTTTTTAAATGCTTTGTCCCTTTGGTCGAGTATTTAAAGGGGGAAAAGGTAATCTGTTTCTTCTGCTTTTATGCCTATCTAACTAGTTGTGATATGGACTCCTGACCAATACTTCTTTAATAATATCTATATTTTTAATTAGCATCAACAATATTCAACTCCCTTAAGCTCAATATTATTATTCACATTTTTCTCCCCCACATATGATTATATTCTTTTCCCCTATATTAATCAATTAGATGGTGAGCCCATGTTTTACAATAAGTCTAAGTAAATCACACTATCATACTTTATAAATAGTACGACTTGCTATAAATTTTATCTTATATACTTGCAGGTGCTCTTGTGTATTTAAGATATAGAATCACATCCCAAGAACTAACTACTAGAGTTGAGAACTCTAAGATCTTATAAGGCTTCTCTTTCAAGGCGGCTCTTCCGATAACATATTAAGTAAATATAAACCTGTGATTAAAATGGACTCTCGTGTACAAAGGCCTTTTATTAAAAAGGTTTTCTATGTACTGGTTTTGCATTTGAACTTTTCACACAGGTTTTAGACTCGATATTAAAAAAAAAAAAAAATTCTGCACCAAGTGCATTTATAATATCACACCAATAATTGATTAGTAGTTGTGAACCAATATTGATTGAGATAAGAAAAGAGAAAGAGATCTAACCAAGAAGGTGAAGGTGGAGAGAAGTCCAGTCCTGACATTAGTGTATTGAGATTGAGGCACAGATTTATGAAGCATGCAAGTGAGCGATTGCCATTGGTTCAAACTCAGAGAATCCCCTACAAACATTATACTTTTGCCTCTCATTCTCTCCAAGAAATCTTCACCATTGAACCTGCTTAATTGATAATTAATTAAACATAACATTCAGACTTTAATTATTATCAGCTCAGGTAACTAATTATGGAGCTTAATTTGTTAACTAAGCCATTCTCAACATGCAATTGTGTTCATTATTGGGACTTTTTTTACTGCTTTGGGGTAGTAAACATCATATTTATACCATCAAGATTTAACCTGCAGACACACCGAATGTTATACAAATTTTTTGAAAAAATATGTTTATTTTAAAAAAGAAAAATATGGAATAAAAAAATAATTTAGAAGTATGACTTATGAAGGATAAAAATTTAAGATAGCCAGATATAAAAAGTATGGATTAATCCAAATTTAATATCAACAGTTTAGATGTGTCCAGGGCATATGTAGCAACCCGATGGTATAAATTATTGTTAATAGACAACAAAGAACCCAATTCATACATTGCCATGTGCTCTCTATTTCAGGACAAAACTCATGAAAGCAACCCCGCAACATATTATATATAACTACACATAACACATAGGTTGGTACTTAGAACTTGGTGAGATATTAGAGAAAAATTAATTCTTTATTTCAATTGTGTAAAAGGAACAAAATTAATGTATTTGGCTATTAAGAAAATAAGATCATTGTCATTTTATCTAAAAGGTTTTCTTATGGCACAACATGAAGCATTCTTGTTACAAATCAGTTTTGATGAATATTATTTATTACATATGTTTTTTAATTATAATAAAATCTTTTATTGCAGTCTTTATTTCAGTTATATCCCAGAGATTAAAACTTTCATGGATAAAGGGACAGACCAAACCAATACAGAGTTTTCTTCTTTTTTCTATTAATTATTCTTTTATGATTGAGTTGGTTAGTCCCTTTAGGTGTCTTCAACGACAAGTAAAGCCTCTTTTTTTTTGTGTGATACAAATTCATTTCTTGCAAGATTTAATTTACTAAATTTAACTAGCAAGTGGACCCCAAGATATTGAAAGACTTAAGTCAGATGTCTCATTCAATTATGCAGCATCTTATATAAAATAGTGGTAGTTTGATAAAATAGAGATAAAAATGGTCCACAATCAACTTAAACCGTAAAGTTCAATGTTCTTATTTTTGAAAATGAGAGTTGGAATATTAATATTATGGTAGTATATGTCAGTGTTATAAAAATTAATTGGCCCGGAAATATTTTTAAAAATAAATCAGACATCAAATTTTGGAAGGGCTATAACAGGTCATATTTTTCATTATAGCTAATCGACCAGCGATTGAACTGATGATATGGAAGAAATAAATCTATAATAAATGTAACTATTAGCATAATAACATCACAATATATGAAATTTTCAATGAAACATCATATGTCTACAAATAATCTAAAAATATAATACGCTTTTTGGAGAAGGTCAATTTTTTTTAATGTTTTTTAATTTTTTTAACCTAAAACTCGTCTAGTTTTTTGAAAACCATTTTGCTTTGTCGCCTAATTCCAAGTTTCAATTCAATATTAGCTCAACTCCGATTCAACCTAAGTCAACTATGAAATAATTTTCTAATTCAAATCAAGCTGCTAATTAATAAGTCTAGTCCTCACAACTTAATACAATTTCAAGCATACTTCTTAAAAATAAAAATAACAAAGGAAGAAAGACAAACAGGAAAAATAGTGCTCCGAGAACTCAAATGGAGCAAAACTCACACAGATCTAAAAATTATTAACAATATTTTATGAAGCACTATCATCACTTATGGTAGTTTTAACTGTTGGAAGAAAACAACAGTTACTATCTTTTTACACATATAACGTAAATTTCATTTGACTAAGTCACCGAAAGAAATCATTTAAAATTAAAAAAAAAAAACAAATAAACAAGTAAATTAAACAACATTGTGTACCTTGGCATACTGCAATTTGGGTGCCAGTTATACTTGAGATAAAACTTATCAGGACGGCCATTCTTGGAACAACGGCCATTCTTGGAACAATCGAACTGTTTTTCTATAAAATCACAGTCCGATGATTCATATAGAGGATACGATTCATCGTACACCCAAATCCCATCAAACAAATCACACTGTCTCTTCCCATGAGCTGTTTGAGAAATGATGAATAGAGAAAATAACAGAGAAACAATAATTTTCATAGATATGGCAAAATCCGCCATTACACCGCAGAAAGAAAAGATGAAGAGAAATGGAGAGAGAAGTTGGTAACTGATGATATATGGTAATGGGTCGGTGAATATATAAAACTAGTGAAGCTCGCAATATACATATATATATAGAGAGAGAGGAGATAGAAGAAAGAGAATATTAATTTTCTTTTGTGTTTAGATGTTGCTATTATTATTAATGAATTTGGATAAAGACAGACATAGAGTGAGATCCACATGAGATTCACACTGACAAGTGGATCTGTGTATTCCTACTTATATCTCTCTTTTTCACTTATGAGAAGCCACAGTAGATCCAATTTTATGAGTTGAAGTTAAGAGCACCAATGACCAATTGGTGTTAATATTTTTATTTTTGTGTGTATTGAATGCTACTGGTGAATTTAATGCTATAAATGAGTGAATATGTCCTCTCATCTTATATATATATATATATATATATATATATTTATAGAACCTTTCAGTTGAATGGCTATTAAGAAAATTAATTGAAAGTAATTAACAGCTTTTAACTTTGATTTTTATTCATACATTAAAACTGCATTTGATCTTTTAACTTTAAATAAAATTTTAATTTGATCCCATATAATTTTCATAAAGTACATTTTCAATCTTATAACCTTAACACCATTAGTTTCATTAATAAAAATAGATGGAAAAACAAATTTAAGTTTTAATCAAATAAAATTCTCAAAATTAGGTTTAATTTTTTAAAATAACAATTAGTAGCATTAAAAGTCGTCGCTAATAGTGTTAGGGTTAGATGATTAAAAATGTATTTTATAAAACCAAGAGACTAAACTGAAATTTTGTGTAAATTGTACGCTTTTATCTTGAAAAATCATGCTCTTTTCATAAATATACACTTATTTAATTTTATTAGAAAAGTAGAATGATGTGCAGACTTTATTTTCTCAGCTTTTACATCAATCGAATGGGGATATATTTAACAATGACTAGTAAATATTTTATCATATTATGGAAAACATTTTATATTCAGGAATGGGAAGGGGTCCTATATTTATAATAGGAGTAATGTGTGTGTGTCCCATACATAAAAGGGAGAACGAAAATTAAGGACCTGTAAGGAAATCAATCTTTTTATATTATGACGAGATCGTTAATTGTTATTCTTTCCTCATAGAAGAAGCGGAGTTTCCATGTATGAAAGTGACACAATAAGATAGGCTTGATAATCACTCAAGCGGGTTTAAATGATAAGAAAGGAATAATAAGATATTAGGAGAATTTAGGACTTAGATATTCTCTTGACATAATAAAAAAGAAATTATTTTTCATATAATCAAAATGAGAGGGAAAAATAAAGAAAAATCTAAAAAAATACCTTGAAAATAGAAAAATTATAAAGAGGGTCCCATTACAATGTTAGCATTGGTTTTGACAACAATTTATAAGCAAATGATAACGATTTTTGTGAATGAGTCCTTGTATACAATTTTTCAATTTTCAGAATTTTTTTTGGTGATTTCCCCAAAAATTAAAAATATAGTTTCAATCTACTTACCCTTTTTTTCATATTAATTTTCAGCCTTATTCATATCTTTCCTTCTCTTTTTTACTTTTTTTCTTATATAGTTACTGAATTTGATGAAGACATTTTCTTGGGCCGAAGTTATTGAAGGGATTTTAATCTCTTGCTGTACGTTTCAAGTAAAATGCAAAGAAAAATAAAAAGATAAAAACGGGTATAATTTCTGACAATATGGGTCCTTAAAAAATAATCAAGACCTACATCTTTATTTTTCCAATTTTCTCTTACACACATATTCATATTGTTGCGTAGCTTTCAAGTGAAATCCCACCTTCACACGCACATACACACATATATGACACAAATAACAGTTAAAAAGTAATTAACAATTTATAATTACGCAAGCCAACGTAGCCAAAAAAAAAACCAAAAAAAAATAAAATAAAGGAAGAGATCATCTCTTTGTTACAAGTGAATATATCTGGTATTTGATTCTATCAGGTTATATTCAAACATTGTCGGATCTTAATATTTTTCCTTTTCATCTACAAGGTTTAAAAAGGGTATCGAGTTCTTCTTCTTTTTTTTCAATCAAATCAACCATAGTAAAAATAGGGTTTTGTATAGACTTACGGCTGCTTCCTTCCGGTATGAAGCTACCAATGCCAAGAATCGAAAATCAAAACATCAATGCCTTTCCAATCTTTATTGCCTGATTCAATGGAATCCAGTTTCAATACTCGACCAATACTTTCCTCAACCAGGTCCACCAGAAAAACGTTGCGACTCATCATCACCTTCACATTATACTCCTGCGTTTTATTAACCCATCACACCGTAAAAATTTAATCAACGCAACTTAAAATCACCAAATCCCAAGGTCAATTTTCTCATAACTTAATGACATGAAAGCTCCATTATAAATGAAAAATCCTAAATTTAATCCCATTTGTAACCTCGAGTTGTTAATGTCTACCGGTAACTTCAAAAGCAACATAAGGATAGGTTTTATATAATTTGTTGTTGGCTCTAATTATGAATTTTAGGCGTAATAAGTTCACTGTGTTACTCGTGACCCAATCTAATTATCAACGAGCACCTATAAATATATGTATATATATTTTTATATATAACATTAATTACGTGACATATAGGCCCTACGAGGCTGGACTAGTCACTAAAGAGAATTCTGATGAGCCATCACAATCACAAACTACATGTCCAATAATGCATCCATGGAACTTCTAATCCAATTCTAATCTCAATCCTCCTAAACGATTAAAATTTATTACAAGCTATGTTATAAAATCCTACTTGATTGGATATTGTATTAGCTAAAAAAATTAAGTTAGTATATATACATTTACTTTGGGTATATATAAACCAACGATGGTTGGATCGAGTGAAAAGACTCAAATTCTTTTAAATAGGGTCTCTGTTTCAAACTTGATGGATAAAAAATCTCATTCAAAAACTACCCTCAATCCAATTTAATAACATTTTAGTAATATCATATGATAGTATCAAATACATACAAAATATGATGATGATGATGAGGAGGATACCAGACTCAGTTCAATGACATAATAACAATATCTAATATTTAAGCAATGATTAGTAGTTATGCTAATTAATCAATAATTAACGGACTTTTCTTAAACTCTTTGTCCCTTTGGTCGAGTATTTAAAGGGGAAAAAGGTAATCTGTTTCTTCTGCTTTTGTGCCCACCTAACTACTTATGATATGGACTCATGACCAATACTTCTCTAATAATATCTATATTTTTAATTAGCATCAACACTATTCAACTCCCTTAAGCTCAATATTATTATTACTCACATTTTTCTCCCTCACATATGATTATATTCTTTTCCCCTGTATTAATCAATTAGATGGTAAGCCCATGTTTTACAATAAGTCTAAGTAAATCACACTATCATACTTTATAAATAGTGTGACTTTCTATAAATTTTATACTATTACTTTCGGTCCTAATTATAAGACTTCTTTTATAGACTATGAATGAGGTCTTATAATTAGAACCGGAGGTAGTATTATATACTTGCATGTGCTCTCGTGTATTCAAGATATATTATGTAACAAGCACAACTCTTTGGGAGAATCACATCCCAAGAACTAATTACTAAAGTTGAGAAATGCAAGATCTTACAAGGCTTCTCTTTCAAGGCGGCTCTTCCGACAACATATTAATTAAATATAAACTTGTGATTAAAATGGACTCTCGTGTACAAAGGCCTTTTATTAGAAAGGTCTTCTATGTACTGGTTTTGCATTTGAAGTTTTCATACCAGTTTTAGACTCGATATATAAAAAAAAACAAATTTTTTTCTACACCAAATGCATTTATAATATCACACACAATAATTGATTAGTAGTTGTGAACCAATATTGATTGAGATAAGAAAAGAGAAAGAGATCTAACCAAGAAGGTGAAGGTGGAGAGAAGTCCAGTCCTGACATTGGTGTATTGAGATTGAGGTACAGATTTATGAAGCATGCAAGTGAGCGATTGCCATTGGTTCAAACTCAGAGAATCTCCCACAAACATTAGACTTTTCCCTCTCATTCTCTCCAAGAAATCTTCACCATTGAACCTGCTTAAATAATAAATAATTAAACATATCATTCAGACTTTAATTATTATCAGCTCAGCTAATTAATTAAGGAGCTTAATTTGTTAACTTGACCATTCTCAACAAGCAGTTGTGTTAATTGTGCGTTATTTATAATTTTAATTTAATTATTATAATATTTATCGAATATGTTTTTCTTGGGACTTTTCTTACTGCTTTGGGGTAGTAAACATCATATTTATTATACCATCTAGATTTAACCTGCAGAAATACCGAATGTTATACAATTTTTTTTAAAAAAAATGTTTATTTTAAAAAAGAAAAATATGGAATAAAAAAATAATTTAGAAGTATGACTTATGAAGGATAAAAATTTAAGATAGCCAGATATAAAAAGCATGGATTAATCCAAATTTAATATCAATAATTTAGATATGTCCAGGGCATATATAGCAACACGATGGTATATATTATTGTTAATAGACAACAAAGAACCCAATTCATACGTTGCCATGTGCTCTCTATTTCAGGACAAAACTCATGAAAGCAACCTCGCAACATATTCTTTATTTGAATTGTGTAAAAGGAACAAAATTAATGTATTTGGCTATTAAAAAATTAAGCTCATTGTCATTTTATCTAAAAGGTTTTCTTATGGCACAACATGAAGCATTCTTGTGTAGGTAGATGTAATCTAAAAGTTACAAATCAGTTTTGATGAATATTATTTATTATATATGTTTTTTAATTATAATAAAATCTTTTATTGCAGTCTTTGTTTCAGTTATATCCAAGAGATTAAAACTTTCATGGATAAAGGGACAGACCAACCAATACAGAGTTTCTTCTTTTTTCTATTAATTATTCTTTTATGATGAGTTGGTTAGTCCTTTTAGGTGTCTTCAACGACAAGTAAAGCCTCTTTTTTTGGTGATACAAATTCATTTCTTGCAAGATTTAATTTACTAAATTTAACT